ATTAACAAGATTTGACCTCCGTCTGAAACTTTTCCCACAGTCCAAGCACTTATGGGGTCCCTCTCCGGTGTGGATTGCCAGATGTCTAACAAGGGCAGACCTCCGTTTGAAATTTTTCCCACAGTCCAAGCACTTATGGGGTCTCTCTCTGGGGTGGATTGCCTGATGTCTAACAAGTCCTGACCTCTGTATGAAACTTTTCCCACAGTCCAAGCACTTATGGGGTCTCTCTCCAGTGTCGATGGCCTGATGTTTAACAAAGGCTGACCTCCGTATGAAACTTTCCCCACCATCCAAGGACTTATGGGGTCTCTCTCTGGCATGGATTGCCTGATGTCTAACAAGTCCTGACCTCTGTATGAAACTTTTCCCACAGTCCAAGCACTTATGGGGTCTCTCTCCAGTGTGAATTGCCTGATGTTTAAAAGGGCTGACCTCTGTATGAAACTTTTCCCACAGTCTAAGCACTTATGGGGTCTCTCTCCGGTGTGGATTGCCTGATGATTAACAAGGTTTGACCTCTGTATGAAACTTTTCCCACAGTCCAAGCACTTATGGGGTCTCTCTCCAGTGTGGATTGCCTGATGTCTAACAAGGGCTGATTTCCAGGTGAAACTTTTCCCACAGTCTGAGCACTTATGTGTTCTGTCCCTTGTGTGGATTTTCTGATGTGTAATCAGCGCTGACTTCCAATTCAAACAATTCCTGCCCTCAAGGTACTGAGAGGGTCTCTCTCCCTCATGGCTTCTCCCATGGTTAGCAAGATCTGAGCACTTATTGAAGTGTTCCCCACAGTCCAACCATCGAAGTGTTTTCTCTCCAGTATTTATTGCCTGAAGCGTAACAGAACCGAGATATTCATAGCATTTCTCTTCCTTGGGGATTGTCTGCCGGCCTGTGGGATTCCTGTGTCCTTCCCCATATATAACAAATTCATCCATTTGCTCCCTTAAGGGCTTTCCCAGCAGACTCTTTGACCTCTGCCAATTTCCCCAGGCTTCTCCCTGTTCCGAGCACTGGGAAAAATTCCCTTCAGCTCTTCCCACAAAGGTCCCCTGTGGTTCCCTGTGCCCAGAAACTTCCTGCTGTTGATTCCCATCCTTATTCTCACTCACTCTCTCGTAACCTGCTGGGAGAGAGATAATTCAGAGAGGAGTCATTGTGCTGAGGAGAAATCAAGAGGAATAGCACCAAGGGAAAACCCACCATACTAAAGCTGCACAGACAGAGCAATTGGATTCTGCCTCCACATCCCACCCAAACGTTCACAGAGAAGGAAAGTTGGGAAGGAAACTCCTGCAGTTAACAGGACACACGCGAAGTGATATCAGTGATATCTGCTGCCTGCAACCCTGTCCTGGATGCGATGAGGAAGGAACTGAGGGCACTTACTGATCCCTCATTTTTGGGATTCTCAACTTTTTCCTTCATTCACCAGATGGTTTCTGTGTCAGTCCTCACCTGTGTGGGCGCCTCTCGGGATCTCTCTTTCCTCACAGGACTGGAGATCGGGCACCCATGGCTCTTTCCCTTGTTCTAGCTGAGTGATCAGGTCAGGTTTGGGAATGGAGAATCCTGTGTAAGGAGTGAAAACAGACCAGATCAGGGTGTGCGGAGGACTGAGAGCGCATCTGTCAGAAAGGACATTCTGTGAGCAGAACCCATCCCTGTGCTGTGCTGGGGAATGTGGAATCTAAGAGGACAAGAAAGTGGCCACTGAGCCCCCTCAGGGTGGGTGCGCAGACATCTGGGGAGGTGAGGGGAATTGTGATGCACACCCAGCTCTAGTGTTAAACCCCTGCCTATTTCTAAACCTGTGCAAACCAGAGCCCTCCACATTGTGGAGCTGTTCCCCAGTAGGAGGGAGAAGAGGGATTCTGTGAGCGACCAAGAAACACCACAGACAGGACAATACACGGCTTCTCCACCTTGCAAGCCTCGGGGGTTGGGTGGGGATGATTTAGTATGTGTCTTAGGTTTTGACTGCCATGTTTCATTGGAGAGTGATGAGACACACAGACCACCCCCTCCAGCTTCAAATAACCAAGGAGCCAGGAATCCCTTACCCAACGAGGTCACCGTTTCATAGTTCTCCCACATGACATCCCTGTAGAGGGCTCTCTGAGCAGGGTCCAGCAGAGCCCCCTGCCCCTGGGTGAAATACACAGCCACCTCCTCGAAGGTCACCGGCATCTGAAACAACAAGAATCCCCCACTGAGAACCTGCTGCTTCAGCCACAATCCCCCTTGTCATGGGGCGGAGGGCCAGAGAAGCAGAATCCTCCCCGCACCCTGCTCAGAGCAGCCAGGAGGCTTCAGGGGGTGGGAGAAGGTGAGAGCTCCTTGTTCCCCCCCAGCACACAGAGCAGGGCAGGGACTTTTCATTTCCCAGACGCCTGCCAGCCACAGGCTGATCCGGGAAGCAGAGCTCTGAGCCAGGGATAGGGACAGGAATCCCAACAGCTTCCCTTCGTATTTCACAGCAACCTCTGGCCAGTGGGATCATGTTCCAGCAGGTTTATCACACCCTGTCCCACCCCGGGTGATTAATCCCTCTGCAATACCCCTCCCCCACACCAAAAGCTCCCTAAAAATCTCCCACCTGAGCTGGCTCCAGCACAGCCATTACCCTGCCCTGTCTCCTGGAAGACGGGACGATCTGGAGCGAAACATGGAAGCGATTTCTCAGCCTGTCAGCGGAGCAGGAAGATTGGGGAGGTTCATAAGGGGCTGGAGTCCATGTCACGCCTCAATTCCCCCCAGGCTCTCTCCCTGCAGACAGATGATTCTATGACTCTGCTATGCTGGGAAGAAACCCAGTTAGTTCATTACCACCCCGGCAGGCCCCCACTCCCCCATTAGAACTAAACCCACCAAGTCCCTTCTAAACCTTCCCAGAA